TAAGGTCCTCTTTGAAAAATGAGACATTATAATAATGGAAACCCAAAATGCCAATCCTCTGTGATACTACACAGATTTACAAAGTTAGACTTCACCACTAGAAAATGCCCAAAGACTCAGTGGCATCTCATTTACAAGTATATTATTTATAATGAATACATTGATACAGAACAACTTATAAAAAAGCAAGGCAATTTTTATAGACATAACAATCAATATTACAATAATTCAGAAAGTACATTTGTTTTGTAGACTGTTTACACACTTTAATTTTCAATCACAAATTTGTTTGGCTTTATATTAAACAGGCAGAATCCTGCACTGTCCTGCTTAAGACTGAAACAAAGAAACAATAAACAGAATCATGATTATTTTGTAGAAAAAAACAGGGTTTTTTTTGCAGATACCATTAGTAATTACCTTATATGTGCCTTTTAAAGTCGGTGTGTTGTGCAATTACTGCCAAGTATACAGCTAATTGAAAGCAAGTTCTGACATGCTGATTAAAGATACAATGGAAGTGCAACATGGACTATTGAAATGCTCTGCTGCATTTAAATTCTCGAGTAGTCAAGAAGGCATTATTTCTCTGATATGTGAATAATTAATGCACACTGTTCCAATGCCATATTCCCCAAATATTCCAGTTCAAAACTTAGCTTTGAAATCTGTTTGATAGGAATAAAGCTGCTACAGTTCACTTTTCTTAGTAATACTACACAAAAGAATTTCAGTATGATGCACCTTCTCCTAAATCTAAAAATTTGCAGGTATAAAAGCCTGGAATCTTGCTTCTGCTTCCATGTGCACAATGGTTCCACTGAACGTGTGGTGGCTAAAAGGAGGCAACTGCACAAGGGGGTAGTAAGTCCCCCTCGCAAAGGCCCCATTTTATCCAACAGTGCAATTTAATGCTTGCTGAAGCAGATGCCAGAAGTTGCTTGAGAATGATAGCATACTCTGCCTGCAGAATGGTTGCCCTCTGCTATTACAAGTAAGATTCGGCCATTTAACATAAATAAAATCTGAAGTATGAAATAGTAAATACTGTAAACTTTGAGCAAACTGATTTAACAGCATCTGACAGAAGAGCAGAGCAAAGGTCTTTAAAGCCAATTATATCACCTAATTCGATTTGTTCTCTTCAGCTTTGCTCATACTTAGCAATCTAACTGCAATTAACATGAATGGTTTACCAAGAAAACACACACATCTTCAAAAGAAACTGCAGCTTTAATTGTGTCTTTTTAACATCAGTATTCTAATATAATCTTAGGAAGTGGTATTGTAGTTGCATTCTTGTATTTTACTTAGTTGTAGCAGAGTTGGCCTGCTTTCCAGCTCAATCTAAAAGGCGGCTTCAATACAGGAAATGTGGCTTGTTTTGCAGAACCCTATTCAGGTATTAAGCTCAAAAGTATGTAAGGTTCAAAGGTGCTGATGACATAAGGATCATAATAAACCACCCTCTCCCACTCACACACACACACACACACACATTCTCACCTCAACCAGAAGTCATCTGAATGAACTTACATGCAGGCCTTAACATTTAATGTAAGAAGATCTTAATGACCTTTAGGTGGGGTGTAGACTTGGTGATGGAGCTTATGTGGCCATTCCTTTCCCCATGACCCTTGAAGTGCTACATATGTTCAGGCAGACCACATGAATAGGGCTGTTCTCTGTCCCTATTTGCCATTAAAAAATCCTAAAGCTTCTAACAGGCATTAGTCCAACCAAGCATATAACTGGCTAAGCTGACAACCATATGCATTATCTCAGGGAAGTTTTTCTGCTTTGTTCTTCTACAGCAACAGGTGGACAGTACAGAACAGCAACTTCAATGGCAACTTCAGCTAAATAAGTTCACTACACTGAAATAAAGTGACCAGCTGGCTCTTGCGTTAGAAAATCCATATTTATGATTTTGTAATAAACAGAATACTAAGAGGATTCCAAATATGTTTATCAGTATTTCCATGATAAACATTGGAGGTAGGGATGGGGGTATTCGTATACGAGCATCCTCATACAGCTGGGGTTAACGAGAGTCTGCCCCCAGGGCTGGACCGTCCACTCATGTGTCCAGTGGTCACAGTAGCCTCGCTCATTCTTCCAATCACTCCTGGAGCTCCACTCTCTTCCTGCTCAGCTAGCCACTCGGCAGCCATGCAGGGAGACTCATCCTCCCTCCCCTTGTCCAGAGTGGCTAGCTGAGCAGGAAGACAGCGGGACTCCGGGAGTGATTAGAAGGATAAATGAGGCCGCCGCTGCCAGCAGATGCGTGAGTGGACAGTCTGGCCCCATGGGGCGAACCTCATTAACTCCAGCTTCATGGGGATACTTGCATTAATATATGACTACCCCATCTCTAGTTGGAGAATATACACTGAGTGCCATCAAAACTCTCAAGACAGACTGAGAAAGACAGTTACAGTTTCTGAGGCTCACCTAAAAGGTAGAACTGAACTGGCAGAGTTAATTAAATGCACACTACCACATGTACATGGGCGTATATTTAATAGCTTTTTAAAAATATATTCCAAAAAGCAATTTTTAAAGATATATGTTCTTCTACTTTGATAATGTTTCAGTATCACAAATCCATGATTTCTTCCCTGTTTCTGTCTGGCACAGATTAAAGTCTTAATCCAGCTGATACATCCTTTATAAATGTAGGTGATTATGACTATTTAAAAAACAAAATTTTGTCAAGAGATGTAAAGATATGCCAGGGTACCTCAGATATCCAATGTTTTGAAATCTAAATAACAGCTATTTCCATCACAAAAACACTTTTTTGTAACTTTTTTAGCTCAAAACTCCCTACCACCTCCCTATAAATGTATTCCCTTTGCATCTTGCTCTCATTCCAGAACAAAAGGTAAGCAGAATGTGGGAGTGTGGCATCAGTGCTTAACCAGAATGTATTTTGACTCCTATTTACATATCATGTTGAAGTACAACTGAAGTACAAAGTAAATTTCCAAAGAATTATAAACAAGGTGATACCCACGTTAGTCCATAGTAACAAGACAAAGAAAAAGCCTTGTAGCATTTAAAGACTAACACTTTCATTATGCATAAGATTCATGGAATGCAGCTCACTTTAGTACCTGAGGTAGGTGGCTGCAGTCAATGAAAAGATGATGCCAAACAGAACAAGTTCATCTTTAAGGTGTCACAATTATTTTAAGTGTATCCATGAGTTTCAAAACATGCACAAAATTTTCTAGACAGAAACTATCAGTCAACATAGTCCTTGGCAAAATGAACAACTGTATTCATATATTTACAGATAAAACTATCGATTCCATAAAGGTGGCCCAACTTAATCTATCCACAATTCCACAGATTGGCAGAACAAGCCAACCTACTCAAAATATGCTACCCTACTTCAATTCTTTACAGGTTTCCAATGAAATCCCTCTAAATTTGCCTGGAATAATTTTCAGTACGCAGCTAAACTCTGGCTTTAAAAGAAACAGAAAAACAAATCAGGATAAAAGACTATTCCCACTCTAACATAAAAGTGCACTTGGACAGCATTTGAAGAAACACGTATTGAATCAATGGAACAAGTTTACAGCTTCAGCATTGAGTGGACTTTAATCTTTTTAACTGTCACTACGGGGATCTTTGTATTTTAACTTTAATGTACTTTAATGCTCAGACGTGTAGGCTTGCAATCAGCTGAAACTATACATTTGTATAAACAAGTATCTAGAGGGAAATAACTATTACTAGACTTTTTGGAGGAGAAGGTATCAGAATTAATGGAGTAGGCTCAGTTACATGTGCACAGTAGGGCTAGTAGATATGAACTTTTCTACCCACACCTCCATGTGGCAGCTATGCCTCAAAATGCTACAGTAGATTGGGGGATCTTGCTGGGATTATGGGGGAAAGGGAGCTGCAGGGGAGATCTGCAGACATCTGTAGAAGGTGCCACTGGCAGAAGCACCTCTTCCTCCATTAGTCCACTTCCCATCATGGCACAGCCCATGCAAGTGAACTGGGTCTCACAATTCCCTGTACTGTATAGCATTGCAGGGTGCATATGTGTGTTTAAGACTATTTCCACTAGCCTAGTTCTGCATACATGACTTTGAATTCAATGCAATATTCCTTTCTAAATGACCAATGATTTCTCGAGTAGTCTTTACTACTAGCTTTAAGGTTTTATAGATCTACCTGCCTCTCTTCAGAAAACTCTCCTTTGCTAACAAGAAAATTAATGAAAGCTAGCTCAAAGAAAGTAGATCAAGGAAGTATGTTACACACAGGGTGGATAAAAATCAATGATTTTTTTTTTAAAAAATCAAGTTGATTTAAGTTTCAATTGAAATCATGATTTAAATGAAAAAGTGTTTTTATTTAAATCCTTGAAAAAATGACTTTTGAATTTAAATCAATTTTATTAACATCAAATCCACCCTGGTTACAGAGCACTCAATCCAAAGAATTTCTGGAACATTCAGATTCCACTGAAATCAATGAGACATGTAGAGCAAATGTAAGCATATTTACTAGGAAGAAACTGTGCTTACAATAATCATCTTAAGTACATAATCAAGAGTTTGAATTCTATTGATATCAGTGGAATAATGATGCCTAACTATCTCTAATTTCTATCTATTAATTAGATCATGATGCCAGAAATTTTAATAGGTACAGAACTTTCAACAGGTGCAAATATCGCCTGGCATCTACAATTTACAATTTGTTAAAAGATACATCACTCGCTAGACTCTATTATCCCAGACCAAACCCATCATAGGGACTTCACACTGAAAATACAGCTAACTGGAATGTAATTGCTATATGAGATTCCACAAAATTAAACTTGAAATGGTATCTCAAGCGTAGAAGCAAGTGTCTATTTCATTGCAGCGTCATTAGCCCTTTGTACAGCCATGAAAATTACACTAGCCGCATGTGAACCAGTTTCCATGTTTCTACAGAACCATTAAATTCTAAATAGAAATGAAAAGGTGTCCTTTTAAACAAATCAGTCTTTAATACTGAGATTGATAGGATGAGGTTAAAAGAATAAATCATGATACTGAACTGATTACTTTGAAGCAAGTGTCCCATCTACAGGGAAAAGTGCATTTAGTTCAGCAGCAAAACAGCACAGCTTGAAGATATTGTGCTTGGACACAGATGGTCCATAATAATGGAAGGATGTACAAGGCAAGTCAAAATATAAAACCAGAGTAACATTGTCAATCAACCGTAAATCTTACATGTACTGCAGTGTTTAAAAAGAAGACACATTCATTAATTGTACAAAGACCAGGAGAAACCCTCACAATTGCCTGTTGTATTTCTAACAACTGTATATAAATTTCCTCATCTAGAAGACTTTAAACAAAACATATAGGTTTTCAACATATTGGTCAATTTCTGAATCAGAAAATGTTGCTTGTGCTAGATGAAGCCAACCATAAAACAGCACATTCAAATACGATATGGTTATAAATCAAGGGGCCAAGATTTAAAATCAGTTCAAGCTTTTCATGAACCATATCTTTTCCTGCTTACCAGTTCCTTATATTTTTGTTTTAATATGACATAGTTTTTAAAAAACCCTCAGCAGAAGCATTAATATTCTAGATATGATTAAAACAGAGTAAATACCATTCCCCCAATACCAAATCCAGTGATTTACACTGATTGTAAACAACATACAATATCGTTTTTAAATCTTAAAATAAGTTAAAAGCTCTCCCTGACTACAGGACAAATTATCCTAAAGAATTTTTGTTGTTGCAAGTAACATGTATTAAGGGGAATGACAAATAAAAATTCATGTGACCAATTTGTCTGTTTTGGCCAATGGGAAGAAGGCTCCATCTTAAAATGTCCCTTAAATTGATCAATAGTTAATTGGCAATTGTCTTCAGTGAACTGGTATCCCCAGATTACCCAGATATCCATCAAATTCAGCAAAGAAAACTTAGACAAGCGTTTTGCAAAGAAAAAAACCAACTCTAAATGGCTGTTTCCTCTATTAGCAGAAACACATAGATGTGGTCTTAAATTTACCTGTTTTATATTATTTATGCTTCTATATATAATATAATATACAGTTCATATATTATATTATATACATATACACATACACAATACTAATAATGCTCTTTGCATTTTGTACAGTGTATGGGACAATCCAACTTTTATCCAACCCGAGCAATAGGTGGTCTAGATTATGTTATATACACAATGACACCTGAAGTGCCATTTTAATTTTGTACATCATTAGGGCAGATATCCATCAGACCATGGCACGATACGGTCCTTGCATTTTGAGAAACTGGATTATAAAGGAAGGTCCTCCTGCAACAATCTGAGCTGGAAGAGTACTCAGTGGGCAGTTCTCAATGCTCATTATAGACAGCTTACTGCAGAGAGCCAGTTCAAAAGGTAGACTGTTTAGATGAGGGTTGTCGTTTAGATACAATTCTTCCAGATTCTCCAGTGTACCTATCAAAAGTAAAAAATTATGATTAATAATAATTGTGTGTCATCATCAATTCTGAATTATGGCTACCCTTTTGAGGGTAAAGGGTACTCAGAAGTGGTTTACCTAACTCACTGAGCTATCCAGCCAATTAAATTATAATTAGCACTTCATAAATGTGTACCTGGTTGAGGGCAGTTTATATTATTCAGAAAGATAGTAGCTCAATGGCTATAGTATCCAAAAGAATGGTTACTTACTGTAAGTCTGGTTCTTTGAGTGGTCATCCGTGAATGCACATTAATGGGTTTTATCTGTGCCTGCGTAGAGGTTTCCGGAATCTTCTAGAGCTTAATATTGTTCGCTAGGACTGCCCCCCCCAGTAGACGTGGTCCACCCATCCTGACAAGTGCCTCAGTTCCTACAAAGTCTGCCGCTATATAAAATTTTTTTTACATGATGGACAGAGAGGAGAATGTGTGGGAAGTATGAATTCACAGATGACCACTGGAAGAACCAGAGTTATGGTAAGTAACATCTCTTACTTCTTCATGGTCTCTGTGAATGCACACTAATGGGTGATTAACAAGCTTAACTGTCCGGAGGAGGGACATCACGGAAGAACAGCTGACAAAACCGCTTGTCCAAACGTTGCGTCTGAACTTTGCCCGTAGATCTAAATGGTAGTGACAGGCAAAGGTGGACGGTGTGGACTACGTGGCAGCTCTGCAGATATCAGGGACAGAAACACCCCTGAGGAAAGCTGTAGAGGTGGCTACTGCCTTAATGAGCCTTAATTCCAACAAGAAGAGGCTTGTTCGCCAATTGATAGGCAAGACGTATAGTCGCCACTATCCATTTATGGATAGTTTGGGAGGAAACAAGAGATCCTCGTGCATTTGGGTGTTGCGTCTGCTCAAGCCATCTGCCAGTTGGTTTTCGCTTATAGAGATCTGGATAGCTATTGGGAATATATGGCGTTCGAGACACCATTTCCAGATTTGCACAGTGAGGTAGAGTAGAGGTAGAGAATGAGTGCCACCCTGTTTGTTGAGACAGAAAAGAGCTGTGGTATTTGAACGGCAATACCGGTGACGAGTGGTTTGAAGGCACAAAGAGCCTTGAAAATGGCTAGCAGTTCTAGGTTTATATGCAGGTGCTTTTCTGAGGGAGACCAGAGAGTGTGAATGTGGAGACCGTTGCAATGAGCTCCCCAATCAGCTGGGCTTGTGTCTGTGGTTATTTGCATGGTGAATTGAAGTTATCTGCATGGTGAGAAAGGTCTGCCTATGAATAGATTGTGTGGTATGTTCCACCATTCTAGCTGGGCTGATAGGTCGGGTGTGACTCTCAGTAATATTGTGGGAGCATCTGATATTGGTTGAAGAGGGAGAAATACCACACCTGCAAAGAGTGCATTTTGAGGCGTGCATGTTGAATCACTCATGTTGTCGATGCCATGAGTCCATGTAGTCATTGGGCATGGTGCACGGAGACCAAAGTGTGGGGATAGAATTGTTGAATCACATTATACATTTTCATAGCCTGTTCTTGGGGAAGAAAGGCTCTCACTGATCGAGAATCTAGAACTGCCTTGATGTAGTTCACCCGTTGTGAAGGAATGAATATAGATTTGGTTCGGTTGACCTTTAAGCCCAGATTCTCTAGGAGGGAAAGAATAAAATCCATGTCGTGTAGAGCTTGAAGACGGGAGAGGGCTATGAGTAACCAGTCTATGTAAGAGAAGATGGAAATCCCTTTTGTGCGGAGATAGGTTGCCACGGAAGCCATGCACTTAGTGAAAACACGAGGAATGGCAGAAAGGGCTTTGAATTCGTAGATGGTGTTTTCCTATTGAGAATCTGAGAATATTTTTGTGATCGTGACAAATGTGGATGTGAAAATAGGCATTTGTTAGATCTATTATCACGAACCAGTCACCTTACTGAAGGAGTGGTAGCATGCATGGTAGGATTACCATGCGGAAGAAGTGCTGGAAAATGTGATAATTCATATCTTGCAGGTCAAGGATAGGGCGAAAGCCTCCATCCTTCTTGGGTACTGTGAAGTACTTTGAGACAAATAAGTATGAGGGGAATGAAGAGTAGAGAACTGGGCTGGATAAGAGTAAAAAATTTTGCTTTGGTTTCTTGTCAGGTCTACGAAAGGATTAACGTGGGCGCCGGTGCTGATTGTTCTGGCGAGGCTGTAAGGATGAGGCAGACTGTGGTATGTATCTCTGTCAACAACTGGTTTGTATTGTTGGTAGGGATATGGTCGATGCCATTGATAGCGTTGTGATTTGTAGTATGATGTGTATTATAAGATCTTGCGGTTTTTCTCATTTTCTGTAGGTCACCAAGAATTTCATCTGTCTTGGTATCGAAGAGGCTGACCTCATCAAAGGGTAAGTCCTCAATGCGCATGCAGGAATCATCAGAAATATGTGCAGATCGTATAAGCAGGCATGCCTTCTAAGGGTGACGGCAGTGGCCATGTGTCTTGAGGCAGCCTCTACGATATGTCTAGACATAATGTGCTCTTGGCGAGCTAAAGCCATTGCTTCCTGATGAAAAGCCAGGCCTCTTGGTTTATATTCACCCTGTGCTGATTGGAGTGAAGGGAGTGCCTTGTTCCATAAGAACCTGTTGTACGATCCCATGGCTGCAAGGCAGTTTGCCGCATAAAGAGTGAAAGAAGCCAGAGAGGATACCCTGCGTCCAATAATATCAAGTTTTCTGCCTTCTTGATTATTTGGTGTTGCATTAGAGTGATTTCTAGCTCTAATCTAAGTTGCATCTACTATAACTGAATTTGGGGGTGGATGTTTAGAAAGGACGGCTGTATTGTCACCATGAGTTTGATATGAGTTTTTAACCCATCTCTAGATCTGCTGGACTGAGGATGGCTTAGCCCATGTTTGCTTAATCAGTTAAGGAGAAATGGAATAAACCCCATATGAAGTGGGGGGGGGGTCTGATTTTTGTTAATGTCCTCATAGACTTTGTCAGATTCAGACTACACTGGTTGTTGCACCTCTAGGTCCATTGCCTTAGCAACGTGTAGAACCAGTTGTGAGTAACATGCAAAATCCTCCAATGGAAAAGGAGGATTTGTATCAGCAACATCTGAATCTGGACTTGGAAGATTTGGAGGTGACTCGGGGTAGAAGAGAATCTGAGGTGTCAGTATCAGACGATGCAGACAACAAGGTTTGGGATTTATTTATTTATTTATTTATTGTATTTATACCCCGCCTATCTAGTCATTTTGACCACTTTAGGCGGGATGGAGAGGGTTAATCACCCAATGCTGCAGTTTGCACAGGCTTTGACTTGGTTACTTTCCGTTTGGTAAGTGAGGTGCGTGGAGCAGAATGTTGAGCCTTTGAGCGTTGAGAATGATGAAACTTTGTAACCTGGTGCAGTGGTGGCGAAGGGACAGTATAAGTGGTAGTAGCCTGTACCGATGATGTGGCCTCCTGTGGTACCACAGGCGTTGTAGATGGTTTGGAACACTTCATTACAGTGGACCCTTGACTTACAGACGGCTTGACTTACAGACTTTTTGAGTTACAGACTTCTCTGGCCGCAAAATTTAGGTTTGACTTGCAGACTGAGATTTGACTTACAGACCAGAAAAAAACCAAAATGGAACAAAAACGGCCTGTTACAGGATTAATCGGTTTTCAATGCACTGTAGGTCAATGGAGACTTGACTTACAGACTTTTTGACGTGAGAACCGCCTTCCAATACGGATTAAGTTCTCAAGTCAAGACCCCACTGTATTGGTGGTGAGGCAGGTCCTGTGCCAAGACATGTTTCCTTTTGTGAGACGATTTATGGTGCTTTACCCGTGGAGGGACCGTGGAGTAATCAGAAGTGGAATGCTGATACTGAGGAAGGTACTGAAAGGATTCAGAATGGAATCTGAGTAATAATAAGAGCATTGAGGTTGTTTAGGTTCAACTTCCATATCAGGATGCCCATAGCGGTATCGGCGGTGTCGGTATCGTGATGGTGGCATCTGAGTGGCTCATATAGAGTAACCCTCTTAGGACGACGGTATCATGTAAGAGAATCATGTGATGCAAGAAGTCCTGTCGATCCCTGAGGGTGAGGGGCATCGACATCAGAGTGACCAGTCTCCAATGTATGATGTGCCTTCCTGGACCGCTTGAGCGGTGGTAGCAGATCAGGCAAAGTAGAGAAACATTCCCACAAGTAAGAACAGAGATGCTGCTGTCTCAATTTAAGGGCCTGCCTAGTAAACTTCTTGCAAATAGGGGAAGAAGCTGGCTGGTGGGCCTCGCCGAGGCAGAAGAGACAAGAGTTGTGGTCGTCAGTCAGAGGAATTTTACTGGAGCATGAAGTGCACCATGTGAATGGCCCAGAAGGGGCCAAACCATCAAAAATGAGTAAGAATGAAAAGGGGGAGGGGGCAGTGGAGAGGAGAAAAAAGCACAAAGTCTCTCACAAATCCCTTTTGAAGGCAATAGCGAATGGAGCTCGTCAGAGAGAAGAAAGTTCAGTGGCAGCAAAAAGGAATTGAGGCACTTGCCAGGATGGGCAGACCACATGTACTGGGGGGGGCAGTCCTAGCGAAAAATGTTAAGCTCTACAAGGTTCTGGAAACCTCTGGGCAGGCACAGATAAAACCCATTAGGGTGCATTCACAGAGATTATGAAGAAGAACAGGGTTTTTTAAAATATGGGATGCTGTTTCAGCTTGTAGTTACATTTCCTAAGGCAAACAATCAAGAAAAGACAAGGTAATGACAATGAAACGAATTCTAACTCCAAAATCTTAACTCACAAAATTGCATTACTCCAAAAGTCTTCTCACAAGGGAACCTCTGGAAAAGACTCACTAAACTGACAAAACAGATTGCTTCTTTTTCTCAAATGTTATAAGCAAGATAACTACTGCCACATTTTAAGTTTCTTGAATGCATGTGTATTGTCTTGAATACATAGGCTGACCACAACGTACAAATGTGAGCTCCCATTTCCCCAAGTGTGTGTGTGTATGTACAAGCATGTGGGCATGCATGTCCTTCTGTATCTTTATGTGTCTACATATGTACCCTTCTAAATTTGCCCCAAGGAGAACACTGAGCAGAATAAAATTAGACAACAGCAGATAAAAGAACAGTGTATTTGGAATATGTTTCCACTATTTTAGTGGCAGTTCTAAAAATACGATAGCATTATAGGTGAGAACAGACATATCTTACCAATTTCCTCAGGAAGTTGTGTAAGAAAATTTTCCCCTAGTCCAAGATGCGTCAGATTGATAAGGTGGCCAATTCCTCTAGGGAGTGTGCTCAACTGATTATTTGTTAGGATCAATCTCTGATGGAAAAATACATACACACATGTGTCACATTAATATTAACTCCTGTCATGAAAAACAACTAGAACAAAGGTAACTTCATCCCTTCATTAGAATCAGAACTTTGCTCTTTTCATCTCCCAATAATAGTTTATAGCTCACAACTTGGGCTTCTTACCACAAAATTATTTAAAACCTGTAAGAACCACAGATGCTGTACAGTCAATAACGTATCTTCCCATAACAGTTCCACAAAGATTATTTCATTTTTTTTCATGCACACATATCCAGTACCCTTCTAAAATAATCAGATTACATGGAACAGGAATGTAACAGCATCTAGTTCCTAATTTAATACAGTCTCACCTAATACAAGATATTTAGTTTTCATAACACAACATACAGATCAATCTGGAAACAATCTCTACAAATAAATATTTCACCTGTAGATCTCTAAGATATGCTATTTCATTCGGCAATGATTCTAACTTGTTTTCCTCCAGATCCAGTTCTCTTAGTTTCCTCAAATTACCAATACCATGTGGAAGGCTCCTTAGAAGGTTGTTTGACAAGATAAGAACCTAAAAGAAATGACATGCAGAACTTCTTGTGAAGTACCAACCATCCATTATCAAATCATACAATTAAATAGTTATGCACTGATGAAGAAAGCAAGAAATTGCTATTGTTCATTATCAAACCTTAATATTTTAGCAAATTAGAATCACAGTATCAATGGGGGTGGGAATCTTCTTTACTAACCAAGAGTAGGAAAAACAGTTGGGAAAAGGTTTTGATTGTGTACAGTTATTTTTCAGGTAGTTATAAAATATATTTGAGAAATATTATACTTTAACATTCCTGCCAGTAGAAATTTATGGAGGGCAGTTCAGGAGGGTTTGCAAAAATATATGAACAATTTAATTTTAAGTTTAATATGTGGACAGAGACAAGATTAAATAGTTTGAGTAAGAATTTAAGTTAAATAAACATTACTGAGAATAAAAAGTTGCAATTGTCAGAGCTAGCATATTTTCCCTTTCTCACATGAGGCTACTCTGGAAGGGCTTTGGGTCCTGTGCATCCAGACACCCTGGAGTAATCTCTGGCAAGGAGCCCTGAACACACACACCTTGAATGTCCTCCCAGGAACTATATAAAAGCACAACCACACCCTTATTCTTAACCCCAAGATCTCAAAATTAATTGCATCCCTACAATAAAAGAGCAGACAAGTCAATACCCATAAACTGTAGTAACCTACTAATGATATCTCATTAAGGGTTCCTTCATTTTCTCCATAATATAGGCAAAAGACTGCAAGGAAGGACAGAGTCACAGTGATCACATTCATTATAAAAAGGTAAAGGTAAAGGTTCCCCTTGACATTTAGTCCAGTCATATATGTACACATTCTCTACATTGGCAGCACAATCTTTTTGTACTCTGGAACCGCTTCCCCTGTTATGTCACTGTTTTATGAAGCAAATATATTCAAAAGAATCAGGATTTTAAAAATTCATGAAATTTAAAGGATTGCAAAAGGGAAAAAATATAGTTCAATCACGACCTGGGGTTCAAATCCCAGGTAGCCAGCTCAAGGTTGACTCAGCCTTCCATTCTTCCGAGGTCGGTAAAATGAGTACCCAGCTTGCTGGGGGGGCAATGTGTAGCCTGTATAATTAAAATTGTAAATAATGAACTACAGTGGACCCTCGACTTACAGACTTTTTGAGTTACAGACTTCTCTGGCTGCAAAATTTAGGTTCGACTTACAGCCGGAGAATCGACCTACAGACCAGGAAAAAAATCAAAATGGAACAAAAACGGCCGGTTATGGGATTAATCGGTTTTCAATGCATTGTAGGTCAATGGAGACTCGACCTACAGACTTTTCAACCTGCAGCCACCGTTCCAATACAAATTAATTCTGTAAGTAGAGGGTCCACTGTATTTACAAATACAGGATTGGGTCAGCAACTGGAGACTCTGAGATGGTCTGATATATGCACTTTCCCTGTCCTAAAGTATCTATTATACAGTATAAACCTAAGAGATAAAATGGCCACAACAAAAATCCTTCAGGCACAAATAGAAGTGCAATACAAAAGTCTATCTAACATTCAGTCCAAAAGCGACTTCCTATTTCAATATACACTTGACATGTCTATTAATCCTCTGAAACATTGTGTTAAGAGTTAGAAGACTTTCTATGATCTGCTAAAGACCTGCTTAACTGGTCTTTCTAATGTATTTTGCCTACCTCAAGGGAAACAAGTCCAGACACATCTTCAGGAATCTTGTTGAGCTGATTTGTAGCTAAGTTGAGTTCTACCATGCTAGTCCATGTCCCAAAGTCCAGGGGAAGTGACGTCAGCTGATTGTCCTGCAGTTCAAAATAAAGACGACTTAGGAAGGCAGTTGAAAAAGCAATGGAAGTTTGAAGATGTTTAAATACATGCACTGCACCATTTGGAATCCCAAGTGAATGTTTATGTTATGGCCTAACAATCTGTTTGTTTAAAATTTTTAAATCTATTGGTACCTTTTAATTTTTGTATAATTATTCATTAATATTTCGAATGTCACTTTGGATCAATATTTTAAATACCACCTTTTGAAGGAGGTTGGGCACATGAAAGTCGACTGATCTTTTTAATATTTTTTAATTTTAAATTTTATTTTCTTATTTTTACTGTTTATGCAAGTATTAATTAACAAAGTGGGGGGAATCCAGACGTAATCATTCTCACAGAAGAAGATCTATTATGGCGCACCCAATCCAAAGACCATTTTTACCATGTGTCCTTACAAAACAAATGCAGTCTTAAAGATAGGTGGTCATGTACAGAAAAAGTTCGCAAAATGGTTGTTCTGGGTTTTTCGGGCTCTTTGGACGGGTTCTGAAGGTTGTTCTTCCTAATGTTTTGCCATTCTCTGCAGCCGGCATCTTCAGAGGACAGGAGTCAGAACTCTGTCTGTGCTCTGGTGCAGTTTGTTTGGATAGTTGAGTATTTATAGGTGAGGGATTAGCTTTTGTCCTTTTCAGGAGATGAGTGATTTTGGTGATCAGCATGCTTTTTGTTGTGGGTGCATTGTTGTGATAAGAGGGAGAGACTATTTGTCACTGATGGGTGTCTTTAGCTGGACTTTGTGTGCATTGATCACCAGTCCTTGTAGCTGGGTAGAGTTCATTGACCTTTCGCAGGCTGTATTTTTCAGTGCTGGGAGCCAGGCTTTGTTGAGTTTTAAACTTTCTTCTTTTTTGTTGAAGCTCTGTTGGTGTTTGTGGATTTCAATGGCTTCCATGTGCAGTCTAACATAATGATTGCTGGTGTTGTCCAGTACTTCAGTATTTTGGAATAGAATTTCACATCCAACTTGTTTTAGGACATGTTCAGCTACTGCAGATTTTTCTGGTTGTTTTAGTCTGCAGTTTCTCCTGTTCTTTGATTCTGGTGTGGATGCTTTGTTTTGTGGTTCCAATATATACCTGGCCACAACTGCAAGGTATCTGGTATACTCCTGCAGTGGATGCAATCCATGAGCCCTTTGATGTATGGCAGAAATACTTTATTTGTGGGTGGCTGTTTTTCCTCTTCAGTTTGGTGTTGTTTTCTTGGCTTGATGGCTCTTGTTGATTTCATTTTTGGAGTAGCCATTTGCATGTAGGGCCCAATTCAGATGGTTGAGTCTGGTGCTGAGAAACTGAGCTTCACAGTTCTGATTTGCACGCTCCACCAGTGTTTTGATTATGATGCTTTTTTTGCTGTAGGTGGTGTTTGGAGTTTTTGTGTAGGTACCGGTCTGTGTGGGTGGGTTTTCTGTAGACCTTGTGTCCCAGTAGGAGGTCTGTTTTGTGTATGACCATGACATCTAAGAAAGGGAGTTGGTCCTCTATTTCTTTTTCCATGGTGAATTGTATATTTGGGTGGACACTGTTGAGATGGTTTAGAAATTCTTCCCAGTTTTTCTTCACCGTGGTTTCAAACTGCGAAGGTGTCTATCCAAACAAACTGAACCAGAGCACAGACACAGTTCTGACTCCTGTCCTCTGAAGATGCCGGCCGCAGAGACTGACAAAACGTTAGGAAGAACAACCTTCAGAACATGGCCAAAGAGCCCGAAAAACCCACAACAAACATCAGATCCCAGCCATGAAAGCCTTCGAGAATACCGTTCACAAAATATTTAATATGTAGCCTGTTGGTTACTATATAACTTGTATATATGCATGGCATAAAATAATCTCCATGCAAGATCTATTTGGGATGCACCAAGTCATGCTTAGATGGCTGTATACAAACTAGTCTTTTGCTAGAGGTCAGGTCATGTGGACTTCAGGGAATGCAAACCACCTTCCTCTCAACTGCATTCCCTTTGAGGGATAAATAGATTTTGAAAGCACTTAAAATATAAACAGTAGTTGCTGGCAAGGCCTCATTTCTCTCCATCAACATTAGCAATATTCGCATATTCCTACTAGAGAGTTCCCTTGATATCATGGCTGACACCAGAGACAATATCATGGCTGACACCAGATTCTCCCCACCTATGTTTGCTCCTGGGAAGAGGTCAGTAAAGGTTGTTTGGCTTACAGTTGCCTGCTCTCTTGAATGCAGGCAGCTAAGTGTTTTTGGAAAAGGCACACATAATCCTCCTCCTGCACTAGAGTGAATTTTTCAATTTCAAAAAGGACAAACACATTACACTGCAACAGTTTTCTCCTTAAATTAAAAATTAGTTGACCAAGGACACCATAAATTCTTTCTTTTAACAAGTAGGCAGGGACTAGTACTCATGTTAACTGAAAGTGTTACTTATCTGTCAAAATAACTAGAGTTGCCCTCTACAATTGACAGCTCATCAACTTTGTAATAGCAACATTCAACAAAGCTGGCAAAATGTAGCTAGCGTCTCTGATTTAACCCAGGCACCAAATGAAAAGAATTGTCTGCCACATGGTTGAGCTAGGCTGCAAACAAAACATAAAATACTGTTTTGGGCAATGGGCTAGTTTTTAACCAAAAGAGGTTTCCTGCAGTGCATGAGATCTAAATGTTGCACCTTTATAGAGAAGACAAGGAAAATGTTTACAACACCTTTGTTTATATTTCAAAGGCAAAAGCAACATTTTGTAGTATACAAGGATCTGCATTGCTCAACAGCCTTTATTGCCTAAACTGAAGCAGAATGAAGCCCTTCTATTTTTCAGTCTGCCAACATCTGAAACAACTTTTGAATTAAAAGGAATTTCATGATATTAAGAGGCCTCTTCTCTGTTTAATTCTTTAGGGGAGGCAGTGCATTTGTTTTTCATAAGGAAAAGATTTTGCTGCCATTTAGGCTTATATTACTTGTGCAAAATTGGGCTATTCTGTTCTTTGAAAGAACCTGTGGTTGGAATGAAAAAGGGGAAAGTCCCTGTCTGATACCATCCATTTTTTCTGTAAGACATGCGGGACAAATCTAAGACACATACAAAAAAAGTCTGCTGTAAGAACTTAGCATAGTGTAGAGAACAGAGTGTTGGACTGGGACCCAGGAGACCAGGGTTCAAATCCCTTTTCAACCATAAATACTCACTGGAGAGTGGGATTGGTAATATTATCTCTTAAATAGCTCGCATACATACCTTGGGAACTCTACCAGGGTTGTTGTAAGTTGGAATCAACTTGATGGCACATAACACACACTCCAACTTACAACATCAGATTATTTATGTCTACAGCAAAGGGGATATGAAACTGCTGTATCACTCATTGAAAGCAATGTTTTTAAGCTTTCTTATCGACACTAGAAAACTTTACCATATTGTCAGATATGAACAATGGCACCATCTTTTTATGTGACTGCACCTTCATAGAACATTACAAGCTCACAAACAAAATCAATTTGTGACAGTTAACAATACATCACCTTCATGTTCAGCTTACTCAACACTTTTGCTCTTGAAAAAATTCCAAAAGGGATCTTATTGATACGGTTATGCTCCATATTGAGAGCGTAGATCGTCGAGAACTGTGATGGGCCACCCACTGGATATGACTGGAAACAGTTCCGTGCCAGAGTTAAACTGGTCAGATTCACAAGACTGGATAAGAGACCCTGAAGAATAGAAAACAAAACATGTTGTTACAGATTCATAAAACTCGGAACTCCAAATACTGAACAGCTACCCTTTTTCCTCTTTAACAGTACTTCCAAAAACTATGAAAAACTTGGGGAAAGGGTGAAAATAAATACAATGGCTGGGTAGCTAATTTACAATGCTGAGCACAGTTTTACAAACTTTAAATTGTGCAGCATCTGTGAAATTTTAGTTCATTTTTTAAAAACATCACATTAACTTCACACCTCTTCATTATGCATTATCAGCCTGCCCTCAAACTCTACAGAGTTTGGTTGGATGAATGCCAGTTCTGGGTCTGCCACTGCCGCAGTTCCCACCCCCACCCCCCAGTTTGGGCACACGAGCCTAAAAAGGTTTGCCACCACTGGTCTAGAAGGCTGAACCAGTAAGGACTTCAGCAAATAAAATAACGTCTTTGTCTAGGAGGAGCCCTATTGCATCAATGTAAAACATCTGAATTGGTTGCTTATTTACTTCTGAGTCCACTGAGCTGATATTTATCTTCAAATGTATAAGCAGCTGGAACTTGTATATTTGAGGAAGAGACTCCACCCATATCAACATGTCTATGCACTAATTTCTTTCCAGCCAGCTGTTCTCTGTATTCTCTCTATCAGGGAACATTTATTCTCTTTAAAAATTTTACCACCATAGAATACTATCCTGCAAATAGTAGTCCTGGTGTCATTACTATATTCTTTCTGATGCCAGGCTAAAATATCATTTTTTCCCTAGCAATTTTAAATTCAGTATTGAATATAAACCTGATGTAAGCCGCCCCGAGTAGATGTTGTCTAGAGGGGCGGGGTAAAAATCGAATAAATAAATAAATAAATAAATAAACCTTTCTTCAAGATGAGTGAAAAAGTTTATATGCCTCTTTAAAATTATTATTATATTGATGCTGGGTTTTATTTTGAAAGTCCTGAATGATTCCAGTTTATATATACTACCCTAAAAATTTTTTTGGGAGGGGGATGAAGGTTGCTTTGTATCATTTTAAAATAAATAAATGTGCACAGTAGAAACATGCATGTTGAGTTTTCTCCAAAAGTGAAGAGGAAGCATATGTTTGAATTGTACATGCGCTGCTTTAACTGCTGGTTCACATGCATTTAAAAAGACAACACTATTATTTAAAAACAACAATGCCCCACTTATTACAATGGTAAATTATTTTTCCAAAGCAGTAGCTGAAAACAAACTTTTATCAACTAGTAGAAGTTCTGCACAGTAACATAATGTCTAAAATATGCATCAAATTATAGTATAGTAACTAACTCAATAACTAGGAGAGAAGAAATGTAATAAATGGTAGAAATGGTATTTCAGAGTACATATTACTTCCCATTTATCATTTATGTTCTCATATTGTAAGAGTTACTTTCATTGTTTAATTTTCAGTAAAAAAACAACATCTTCATAGCATTTACACTATGATCTCATTTGAACAGCCCCGTAAGTTCTCTGTTCAATAACTATGGCTGTGGCCACTGAAATTTAAACCTGGTGTACTTGAAAGTATGCCTTAAACATTTAGTCAAGTGGCAATTAGATTGATTAAACTCCTTTTTATCCCTTAGACTATCCATGTCATCACCATTAAGTAAATGCTGCAAATGACCAAATTTCCCCACAGTCACATAAAATTTGCCCTATATCCAAGCAGCCCCATTTTACTTGATTATTCTCTGATATTCCTACTTTGCTTCAAAGCCTATTAAGTGACTTCTAGAAGGTCCAGCTGGAATCTTGTCCTGGTTGGAGACACTGGCATTCATCCATTTGGCAAGGCAAGTTCTTTTTTGCTCTCCATAGGTTTAGAACAAACTGAACTCTAAACCTAAACATAGATCTATAGCAAACAGTAGATCATACTGCAAAATGCCTCGAAGTTGGAGGTATTCTATTAAAGAACCCAAACATTAAACCTGTGAGGATTTCATGTTAATCTGTATATAAAACCTATATTTTATCCTTTGTGTGATGCTGTAACTGAGTAGCTTATACATTTATCAAAGGCACTGTATCATTTGTTGTTTTCTTAAACAATTCTTCCGTTCACGTTTCAAGTAATGAAACTTTAAAAGGTACAGAGACACAGGTATCTTAACTTTTAATCATTGTATACCATAATCTCTCAGAAAGAGAGGGCTTCATTTTGAAAAGTGCACTGAAATTTTGTAACAGCTGAACTTCCACAAAACACTGGCATTTAAGAGTGTGTTCAAAGGTGGCATAGTATACTCAGCAACACAGAATTACATGTCTTAGCCATTTTCAAACATACTGAATATTTTAAAAAGGAATCACCAAAGAGGTACTCATTACTAATGAATAATGTTAGGCAAGCCATTTGTCTCAAACTATTCTTTTAAGATCTAATGTTTATTAGGTATTGCATCATCATGAGCTTGTTATTGTTCTGCAATTCTGCACTTTCCCTTACAAATGCATTTTCTTTCTTCTGTCGCCAAGAGACTTGCTTTAATGGATTACACCATAACACTAACATGGAAATAGCTCTTCTCAGCAAGACATTACAGCTTATATACAGACTAACACTCGTGAATAAAGCATTTTTATATGTTAAGGGAGTTCAGATTAGGAGCCAACTCATCTCACAATAAAGCAATTTGTTTTCCTCTCAGCCTCATTTATACATGTAGTTACACTTCAATAGAAAGCTACCAAATACTCCTTTCCCATTGGGGGGAGAGCGGGGGGATCCGGATGCCTTTCAGGCTGGGTAACCGGCGGTGGGTGGGATCCGAGCCCAGGATGCCTGACAGGCATCGGATCCCCCAACCCTCCCCCCGCGGTGGCCTCAGAAGGCCGCTCAGCTGGGGAGAAATGGTGCCTATGGGGAAAACATCGCAAAGCGATTTTTCCCCATAAGCACCTTCGTTATATGATTGCAAAAGTGATGGCATTTTTGCCATTGCTATGCGAATTCGTCGTTAAACGGGGCACTCGTTATACGAGGCACCACTTTACTGTTTTTTGTTCCCAGGTTTCCCTGAACCCACTATCAGGTGAATTTGGGAGTCTGCTGTAAGACTGGGTTTAATTTAGTTTGGGACCAAGACATTATGAATTCAGGAAAATCATAAGTCCTCCACTGAGGGTGATTACACATGCTCCTCATTTAATTGTATCTGCAATTTTTTAATGTTTACAGTTCTGACTAATATTTCCAAATAATCATAAAAATCATATAGATTGTGTTATTCATCATTTTAGCTGTTACCCGTGTGGAAAGATGCTGTTAAGCCTTTAAAGGCATGGCTGACAGGGTGTGATAATATATCTTCATAACACAAAAGTTAAAAGTAAAACTTATGACAATATGTGGTTCTTTGGACCACTATGCCAAATTTAAATCATGTTTCCAAAGGAAAGATTCACAAGGCTATCCTGTTGTATTATTACAGCAGAGAAAAGATAATGGGGAGCTTCCAACTGTTCTGAGTACCAGCACCTCTGTTTAAATATATAGGTTTTTCTTCGCATCAGGACATTTCAAAATTAATTACGGACATACAGTGGTGCCTCGCATTACAACGTTAATTTGTTCCAGCAAAATTGCTGTAGAACGAAAACGTCGTAAAGCGAAAATAAAAAAGCTATTGAGATGCATTAAAACCTGGTTAATGTGTTCCAATCGGCTAAGAATTCACCATCCAGCGAAGATCCTCCATAGGGGTGGCTATTTTTGGGTGCCCGTGCAGTGAAAAAATGGCTCCTAAACACAGCAGGGAGCCATTTTGAGCACCCAGCGGCCATTTTGAAAACCCGACGATCAGCTGTTTTGATCGTTGGGAAGCGAAAATCGGTTCCCAAAACAGGGAACCAATCATCGCACAGCGAAATTCCCCCATTCAAAATGTCGTTTTGCGATCGCTTTTGCGATCGCAAAAACCTCGTCATAATGCAGATTTGTCGTTAAACGGAGCGCCCGTCTTGCGAGGCACCACTGTATATGAAATAAAGGTAAAAATTAAAAACAAAATGCTAAAATGATTAGACTATTTATGATGATTAGTGGGTAACTTCGTGTTATCTCAGACATCTGCTATATCTTTTGTTCATGTGGTGGGGCATAAATTGCATGTACGTAAATGCTGCAAATGAACTTAGACTATCCATGTCATCACCATTAAGTAAATGCTGCAAATGACCAAATTTCCCCACAGTCACATAAAATTTGCCCTACTTAGACTATCCATGTCATCACCATTAAGTGGGCAAGATATAAGCAACTAAGCCAATATCCTCTTCCACAACTGTTTGTGAAGGGGTGCTGGGAATGGTAGAGGAGGTGAAACGGGGGGTTGTAGAAGAGGTGAAATGGGTCAAAATTATATCCTTGCCCTGCACTCGGCAGAACATCTTCAGTATCACTCTGCTTGGGAAATAATTGTTATTGGTAAGGGAAAACACTGGATTCCAAATAACAGAATAAACCTTAAGTTAAGAAAGTTCCCACAGCCCCATTTTACTTGATTATTCTCTGATATTCCTACTTTGCTTCAAAGCCTATTAAGTGACTTCTAGAAGGTCCAGCTGGAATCTTGTCCTGGTTGGAGACACTGGCATTCATCCATTTGGCAAGGCAAGTTCTTTTTTGCTCTCCATAGGTTTAGAACAAACTGAACTCTAAACCTAAACATAGATCTATAGCAAACAGTAGATCATACTGCAAAATGCCTCGAAGTTGGAGGTATTCTATTAAAGAACCCAAACATTAAACCTGTGAGGATTTCATGTTAATCTGTATATAAAACCTATATTTTATCCTTTGTGTGATGCTGTAACTGAGTAGCTTATACATTTATCAAAGGCACTGTATCATTTGTTGTTTTCTTAAACAATTCTTCCGTTCACGTTTCAAGTAATGAAACTTTAAAAGGTACAGAGACACAGGTATCTTAACTTTTAATCATTGTATACCATAATCTCTCAGAAAGAGAGGGCTTCATTTTGAAAAGTGCACTGAAATTTTGTAACAGCTGAACTTCCACAAAACACTGGCATTTAAGAGTGTGTTCAAAGGTGGCATAGTATACTCAGCAACACAGAATTACATGTCTTAGCCATTTTCAAACATACTGAATATTTTAAAAAGGAATCACCAAAGAGGTACTCATTACTAATGAATAATGTTAGGCAAGCCATTTGTCTCAAACTATTCTTTTAAGATCTAATGTTTATTAGGTATTGCATCATCATGAGCTTGTTATTGTTCTGCAATTCTGCACTTTCCCTTACAAATGCATTTTCTTTCTTCTGTCGCCAAGAGACTTGCTTTAATGGATTACACCATAACACTAACATGGAAATAGCTCTTCTCAGCAAGACATTACAGCTTATATACAGACTAACACTCGTGAATAAAGCATTTTTATATGTTAAGGGAGTTCAGATTAGGAGCCAACTCATCTCACAATAAAGCAATTTGTTTTCCTCTCAGCCTCATTTATACATGTAGTTACACTTCAATAGAAAGCTACCAAATACTCCTTTCCCATTAGCAACTTTGTCAAGCAATATTAATTCATTCTCAATCCATACTAATGCTAATTATTTATACTGATTTTGACAGATTTTACTGCTGTCTCATTTTGGGATCATTTTCTTAGATAAATGCTGGTTTCAGTGTGTTTGATTAACATGTGCACCAAAAAGAATTTCCAAAATCCAGTGCAGAAAATCTCAAAGAAAAACCAGAGCACAGTTCTGACTCGTGTCCTCTGAAGACGCTGGCCTCAGAGGCTGGTGAAACATTAGGAAGAACAATTTTCAGAACACGGCCAAAGATCCCAAAAATCTACAACAACCACCTATTCTTTTCTATTGTTTGTGAAACATTTTTGTATTGGTGTATTATTTGCAGACAAACTACCCAAATACTGAAAAATCTGAATCATTAGTCAAAAAGTCTTGACAAACCTTGGCCTGAAAGAATTAAGTCTGTAAAGGAAGACTAATTCTGTCAGTTCAGCCTTTACTCATCTGACACCGATCCAGTTTTACACCATAGGAATACACTAAATAAATCAATTCCTCACTCCAGCCCAATCCACAAAAGGAAACAGTTCATAAGAATTTACTCTACTACCACTGGTCATGCTGCTGATTACATCTACAATTTACAGTAAAACTGCAATCTCTTTTGGAAACACATGATTTGATCTGGTGAGTACACTAGTGATTTCTTGACAACAGCCTCAGAACGTCCAAAGAATTTCAACTGGCAAGGATAAATAAAATATGGAGGACAAAGCATATCACCCAGTGAATGGAATCACTGGTAAATGAAACAGAAAAATAATAATTAAAAAGCCAGTCAAAACTGTCAGTTTGGAATTTAAAATGAGAAAGAGCAATAGAATTTTATCCTCCAACATGAAGCTCAATCCTTAAATCACCAATCTATACAATTCAGTTTCATCACTCTCCCTTCCTTCCACTCCATTCCATTTCATTTGTATGCTGCCTTTCTCCCCAAAATGGGACACAAGGAGGCTTACAAACTAATTTAAAACAACAATTAAATACACTAGAATTACAAATATTAAATAGAATTAATTTAATTCTATCATTAAAATGCTAAAATTAAGACATTTCAAAATCACTAAAAATATTAGTACTAGTTTACCAAAACTGAGAAAAAGAACCAGCATACCAGCTAGTATCCAATGGTTTGTGCCTAACAAAGACCTACCTAAAATAAAAAGACCTTTGCCTGTTAGTGAATGACAGTTGGGATAGGTTTAACAATGTATTACCCAAACAGGATGTTTTAACTCTCTTCATTTTTTAAGATCTATACTTAAGCTGTAAAGTGTCTTACCTCTGGTAAAGTAGAAATAATGTTGTTCTCCAAATTCAGCTCATCAAGTTTACTGCACTGTGCTAGAGATCTGGGTATTGCGGAGAGTCGGTTATACCTCAGACCAAGACTTTTCAGACGGGATAGATTTCCTAAAAAATAATATAATAAATTTAAAAATAAGAACAGGAAGAAAAACATGTATCATTGAGATTTATTTTACAAGCTTGCCATAAAGGGATTGCATCATATTTAGAAACTCTTACTGGCTGTATTCCCCAGTATCCTGTTTAACAGAACTTACAAGTTGCCGTGAGAGTGGAACTAGGTCACACAAAAAGACACACAAGCATGCACAACTGGTGTCTTCTCCAATCACCATGACAGCTTTTGCAGTAGAGTTCTGCATGTATAAATGCCAAGCAGTACACTAGCAATTAATGTAGGAAAGTATTAACTTGAATTTTTAAAATTATTATTTCTGTTTATCACAAGAATAACACTTCCACATGGTCATCTATGTATGCTCCTAGCTGTAGCAAATTCATAAAGTATTTCACAGATTCAAATACAAAGCACTGAAAAACTAATCAGTATTTCGTTTCGGTATGATGGCTTTCCCTCAAACTTTGTTGTCATTTCTAGGTAAAGGTAAAGGTTCCCCTTGACAATTTTTGTCCAGTTGTGTTCGACTCTAGGGGGCGGTGCTCATCCCCGTTTCCAAGCCATAGAGCCAGCGTTTTGTCCGAAGACAATCTTCCGTGGTCACATGGCCAGTGCGACTTAGACACGGTACGCTGTTACCTTCCCACCGAGGTGGTCCCCATTAATCTACTCGCATTTGCATGCTTTCGAATCGCTAGGTTGGTGGGAGCTGGGACAAGTGACGGGCGCTCACTCCGTCACGTGGATTCGATCTTACGACTGCTTGGTCTTCTGACCCTGTAGCACAGGCTTCTCCGGTTTAGCCCACAATGCCACCACGTCCCCATTTCTAACTTCTGAAAATTTTTCTAAAAGCATTGTTTATGGTTCTTGTTTCTTTTTAAATGTTAGTGGGTACTCATTGCTTCCATATATTATAGCACTTTACATATTGAAAATTAAATGGATAAGCATTTTCTACAAAAGCTTGGGAGAGTGGATGTTAACAGCCTTCAACGGCAAAATAATAATAATAATAATTAAATAAAGGAGGGCATAAAAATCTCCCAAATGAGTGGGACACTGGAGGTTAATGAATAAAAAACATACTGCCATCCTCTCATGCTTTCGGCACAATCAGAGGCCCTCACTGAAAACATAGGTATCCTGAATGGTAGTACTCCAAGTGTAGGATCCAAATTGGCAAGTCAAACAATTTGAGAATACTGTACGTCAAACAATCAGACTTAATGTGGCCTTGTTTTGAGTTATTATGATTTGGCACAGAATGTCCAAACACTGGTCATTCCTGATTCTTGAAACAACTAATGAGATTTGAAATTATACGCAGACATTTTGGTAATGTATCATTACTACTGTTAAGGAAAGAACCTTTACTGGAGCTAAATCAGAATTTATAGATGAGGAAGAAACAATCTATAAAAGAACTATTTCAGAGGCATGCAACACAATTCTTATGAAGCAATTTAGAAGATGCTACATAGTTTTACTTATTTTCAAGTCATCATGCATTTAATTGCCAAATGGTAATTGAGTATTATGTTACCGACCCTGGTTACCTTTGGGAAGGATGGGGGGGACACAAACCAAACAGAAACGCTATTTCAGAAATAAACAATTTTTTCATATACTGTAGCTATTTTGTATTATATTCTCTTACTGAAATGAACCTACTTGTTTGTAATCATGAATATAACTAGCTTTTGTGGAACGTGTTCACTTAGTAACACATAAACGTCTCCAGGCCTCTAAAGAGGAAAACAGATTTAAGAGTGAGTAGCTTGGAAGAAACAAGAGAGTTTGATTTTATTATGTATGATGACTTTAAAGCCTGGGCACCCATCTCCATGCATGCCAAGCAAGTGCCAGGGCTCACTGGTTCAGCCTAAAGACATTTATGTGTTTTACTTGCACAAGGTTAAGACAGGAGCAAGGTGTGGAAGAAAAAATTAATGGGTGTGTGCAATAGATTCTTTGTGCCATTTCTCAGAAATACAGAATTTTAAAGCTGGCAAGAACCCCAAATGTTATTTGAGTCCGGCTCCTTTTTAAGCAAAAAATTCATAATTAAAGCAATCCTGGCAGACAGCCATCCAACTTAAGCAACTGAAACCAACATGGAAAAGAGTTACCCTGGTTCTTCCTAGAGTGGCCGCAAGACCAGATAGGCAGGATATAAATAGAATAAATAAATAAATTTCAACTTGTGAACTTTTTTGTTTAACGTCCATGACATCAAAAAGAACCCGCCTCTGTGACACAACAAGAGCCAGACACCACTGACTCTGATTTTGGCTCTGAAATCTCAGAGAAATGGGTAACTGCTGTTCCACTTAAAAGAGAATTCACACCAATTTTGAATGTTTCAGTCTTCTTAAGGTGTTATTTTTGCCACCAATATTTACTAATAACAATAAACTGTATAGATCAGTCCAATTTATCTGCACTGTTTCAGTAGTCCTCAACTTTTTTTTTGCATCAGGCTTCCTGTTTTATTTCTGAGAAATCACACTGCCTCCTTGTAATGCAGCACCCTTTTAACAAAACAAAAAGAAAGGTTACTTACCTGTAACCATGGTTCTTCAAGTGGATCTCTGCGAATTCACACATTTGGGTTAAATCAACGCCTGTGCTGGAACTTCGGAACCTTCTAGAGCTTTTCTGAAAAAGACACAAAGTTCAGGTTGCCCCTAGCACGCATGCTCCATTCCCTCCCTGCTCCAGTTCCATTTATCCGCCACTGCTAGAGCAAGAGCTCATTATAACATAAGCAGTGACGGATAGTGGGGAGGCCGGGTGGGAATGTGTGAATTCACAGAGATCCACTTGAAGAACCATGGTTACAGGTAAGTAACCTTTCTTTCTTCAGCGTGGTCTCTGTGAATCACACATTTGGGTGACTTACAAGCTAACTTACCGGAAGGAGGGCCGTCACTGCAGGACAGATGTCAAGACAGCCCTTCCAAAACCAGTCTCCTTCTTTGCCCGAAGGTCCAGCCTGTAGTGGGTGACAAAAGTGGACACTCTGGACCAAGTAGCTGCCTTGCAGATGTCTGGAATGTCCACACCATGTAGTAGGGCAGTAGATGTTGCCATGGACCTTGTGGAATGTCCTTTAAGACCTTCAGGCACATCTTCACTTGCAAGCTGGTAGGCAAGAATAATAGTGGAGACAAGCCACCATGACAAGGTAGAAGATGATGCTGGACAACCCTTGTGTGGTCCCAAGAAGCACAGGAAGAGTCTTTCAGATCTCCAAAATCCTTTGTCCTGGAAACATAGTATGCTAACGCCCTTCTAACATCCAGGGAATGGAGCATCTTTTCAACGTCAGACGAAGGATCAGAAAACAAGGTAGGTAACGAAATAGGCTGATTGAGGCGAAAGTCTGTAAGAACTTTAGGCAGGAACAAAACATCTGGAAACAACATAACTTTGTCCTTATAGAATTGCAAGTAAGGACGACCATACCTTAGGGCTGCCAACTCACTTGCTCTTCTAGCAGACGTCTTTAGGGAAAGAAACTTAACATCACATGAAGCCATAGGCTCAAAGGGGTGCTTCATGAGTGACTGTAGAACCAATGTAAGAGGACCATTGAGGTACTGGGGGCCTTGTAGGAGGACGAATGTTGACTAGTCCTTTTAAGAAGGCTTTCAATGTAGGATGAGAAAAAAGACGTGAAGATTCTGAGTCCCTAGGTTGGAAAGAGACTATTGCGGAAATGTACAGTGGTGCCCCACATAGCGACGTTAATC